ATGTAGTCATTAATGAAAAAAAAGATTAAACACACCATAATCATTTATATATAATGATTTACTACAATATTTTACACTTTATACATTGCATGTTAAGATACATGAGTGATTTAGTACCACATAAAGTTCTTATGAGGTTCAAAATTTTCACTATCTTCATCATCCCTATGTGTAGAGTAAGTTTATTGTGAAGAGTATTCATCAAATGATAAATCCCCAAAATAGTTTTGCATGTAATTGTTAACATACCACTCATATAAATATAAATATTTTAGCATATTTGTGAACACGGAAAATTCCTGAAACGAAAGAGACAAGAACGAACGTGCACAAACAAATATTTGTATTTGATGATTTTGGGTTACAATCTCTCTCTATTTTGATCATCTGATTCGATCTCCGTAAGGTGTTGATTGGTGGATGTTTTGTTGATCCAAGGGCCGTTGATGCTTGATCTTGGATGAATTGTTGGAAGTTTCTTCAAAGGGCCGTGGGCTTGATCTTTGAAGGTGGATTTGAGCGGATCTTCAAGGAGCCGTTGGGACTTGATCTTGAAGAACAGTGATGAACGGATCTTCAAGGGCTTTTGGGCTTGATCTTGAAGAACAGTGATGAATGGATCTTCAAGGGCTTTTGGGCTTAATCTTGAAGAACGGTTGGATGTGTGTGGATTTGTCGACGTTGTTGATCCAAAGAGCCGTTGGGGCTTGATCTTGGATGAACGGATGATGAACGATGGTGCTTTCTTCAAGGGCCGTCGGGGGCTTGATCTTGAATTGGTGGATGATTGTTGATCCAAAGGGCCGTTGGGGCTTGATCTTGGATGAACGATGAACGAAGAACGAAGAAGAGAGCTTTCTTGATTCTTCGGGAACCTGGATGCTTGAGAGCTTCGGAGTTTCAGAGCTTCAGAGCTTCAAGGTGTAATATGAATTCCTCCTTCAAATGAATGAAATGGGCTTGTATTTATAGAATTTTCCAAGGCCTAATTTTGAATATAATATTCCAGATGAAATAAGTCGTTTCTGCCAGGTGTTGACACGTGTCCTATTTGATGACTTTTCCAACTTATTTCAATTTTCGTTGAGTCACACGCTACGTGTAAAATTTATGTAATACATGAGCGTTGACACTTTGATTTGTCGGTCAACATTTATTTACCGAAATTTCGATGTCTACAAATGCCCCCACTTCAAGGCGCGTCGTATACATGTGATTGTCATGTGTAGGAGATGCGTTTTGAAGTCCCTTACTGTAGATGTCGATCCAAGGGCCGTTGAGGCTTGATCTTGAATTGGGCTGGAGATTTCTTCAAGGGCCGTTGAGGCTTGATCTTGACTTGGGCTTGAGATTTCTTCATGGGCCGTCGAGGCTTGATTTTGAATTTGGCTGGAAGCTTATTCAAGGGCCGTTGAGGCTTGATTCTTGAAGGCTGACTCGAACACATGGCAAGCAGGCACGAGGTGAAGGTGACGACTTGTTGCTTTGTTCAATCTTTCTAGTTCACACCTGAGCAGTTTGGTCAACGGTATGATCTTCAAGATTGATGGGCTTTTCTTCCAGTTGGTGACTTGATCTTTAAGGATTCGGTTCAAGGGTGGTGAATCGGCCCGTGCAGCCCACAACGCCTAGTAAGTCGACCCAAGAATTTGAGGGTCAAAACGAGTTCTTCATCTCAGACTCTTTCTGCCGAGTTGGCTGTGCATGCTGCATTCTTCTCTGCTTGTTTCTTCAGGCAGATATGGCAGCTTCTCGAGTTCCTCAGTTCGGACTCCTTTTGCTGAGTTGACTGTGCAGACCACATTCTTCTCTGCTTGTTCCTTCTGCACTTTGTCTCCACATGCTGCAAGGTATCATTTTCACTTGCCTTATCTGTTCTCCAGGCAGATGTGGCAGCTTCTTTGGAAGTACAGCAGCAGTGCGAAACGAGTACTCGAGAGCAGTGCTAGGTAGGCAATCAGGGAAGGGTTCCAAGCAGTCGGTTCCTTACCCGAGTTTGAGTGGAAGTTCCGACATATTGTTTTCTTTATCCTTGTCTTTGTAGGTAAGAACAAGGACAAAGGAAAGGACAGGGAGAACGCATGATATGAGATACTCTTGCTTTCTACCCTGGTGATATGAGATACTTTTGCTTTGGAGTCATTGGCTTGCAGAGGTACCCCAAGGAATAAGGAACACTGAATGACTCGAGAGGTTTCATTGGGAAAGCATTTTTGGAGATGAAGAAAAAAACTCTGTGTGTCTGCCTTGCTATGGAAGGTGAAGGTGGACAGTTATAGGAGGTCCCTTAATACCTGTAGAGGTACTATTCTTTTACTTGTGTCGGCAACTAACGCGTGATTGAACAGTAAACTTTCACGTGCTTTCTCCTTCACCGAAAATCTTCGACAAATTTCCCGTGATTTGCGCAAAGTTGAGTGTGCATATGACAGGTGATGACGCGGCCGAAAAAGACTGACGCCTCTTCGATAACTGGGATCGGCGCTTTGACAAATTACCCGTGATTTCCGCAAAGCTGAGTTTGCGTGTGATGGGTGTTGACGTGGCTGAAAAAGACTGGCGCCTCTTCGATATCTGGGATCGGCGCTTCGACAAATTGCCCGTGATTTTCGCAAAGCTGAGTTTGCGTGTGACGGGTGCCGACGCGTCTGGAAAAGCAAGATGCTTCTCCGATTTCTGAGCTTGCCTCTTCGATTTTTGAATGGCCTCTTCGAATTCTGAGCTCGCCTCTTCGATCTCTAAAATCCCGTCGAGTGCTGATTTTTTATAGAGGCATGCAGTTCGTTTCAAAGCACACTTGAATTTTCGCTTGTGAAAACTCCCCTCTTGTACTTCTAAGATCTTGATTTGTCCGATCTCTTCTTCCTTCAACACTTTGAAAATGTCTGGACCCTCCGACCGTCGTTTTGACTTGAATCTTGGTGAAAAGGCAGTCCCGCCTTCTCCAGACAACATATGGCGCCCAACCTTCATATCCCCCACTGGTCCTCTTACCGTTGGGGATTCGGTGATGAAGAATGATATGACCACTGCGGTGGTGGCTCGGAACCTTGTCACTCCCAAAGATAACAGACTACTTTCCAGGCGGTCTGATGAGTTGGCTGTTAAGGAGTCTCTGGCCCTTAGTAGTGTGCAGTGTACGGGTTCTGTGTCCAACATGGCCCAACGCCTATTTGCTCGAACCCGTCAAGTTGAATCGTTGGCGGCTGAAGTGATGAGTCTCAAACAGGAGATTAGGGGGCTCAAGCATGAGAATAAACAGCTGCACAAGCTTGCACACAACTATGCCACCAACATGAAAAGGAAAATTGACCAGATGCAGGAATCTGATGGTCAGATTTTACTTGATCATCGGAGGTTTGTGGGTTTGTTCCAGCAGCATTTACCTTCGTCTTCTGGGGCTGTACCGACTGCTGAGGCTTCAAACAGCCAACCTCCGACGCTTTCTCTTCCTGGAGCTCTGCCGAGTTGTGAGGCGCCACCTGATCGTCCTTGAATATCCCCTCTTGTAAATTTGATTTGATTTGATTTGATTTGATTTTTTTATTTTTATTTTTTTTTATTTTTTATTTTTTAATTTATGTATAATGCAAATTTATGTAAAATTTTCAGAAAAAATAAATAAAATGGACCTTCTATTTCTCTCTATGCATTTGTTTATTTTTGTTTTTTTTTCTTTTTCTTTTGGTGCTGGATGCACCAAGTTCCATCATTTTTTTTTTATTTTATTATTATTTATTTATTTATTTTTTTTTTTTCGCACATGGTGCCCATGCACCACCAGAAACTTTTGATCTGCCATGGGGCTGTACCCCATCTTTGATCCACCATTCCTCTTTTTTTCACGTGGTGCCAGATGCACCACTTTGCTTTGCTCCACCATCCTATTTTTTAATATATCTTTCTTGTATAAATGTTGATGATGGGTAGAGAAATTTGCAGGCAGCGGAGCAAGGAGGACGGAGAGTTGGAGTTTGAGGAAGCGCTTCTCGGCCGGCTAGTCGTTTGACAGCGGTCTTTGAAGTTGTTGGCAGCTGCAAGGCAAGAGACGGAGGAGAGGATGGGGAGTTGGAGAGGGTTTCGGGGCACCGGTGCTTCAGCCATGGAGGGCACGGGGTTGAGCTTGCTGCTGCGATCGGGGGAGGTGTTGACGGGGGATGTGCAGTTGCTGTAGCCAGTGGAAGGAGTCGATGCCGAGAGTGCAGCCCAACTTGCTCCGGGTGTGCCGGGTGTGCGCACCATGTGCAGCAGGTCGGGTTTGAGTGGAGTGAGGAGTAGGCAAAGACGGAACAAAAGGCTTACATCTAAAAGATCTACACAATCAACAGGCTTCGACAAGAACGACTTACACTGCACTGTCGTTCGCTGCTCTGGCCTATTCGGTAAGCGCTTCCTCTTGTCGTCAAAGCCCGCCAGTCCCAGACACGCCGGCGGCTCACCCGTGAAGAATTTATACGAGTAAGTGAAGTTCTGCAGACTCGGCGGCAGCGAACAAATACTCGCCGGAATCTTCCCCGACAGCAAGTTTGTGGGCCACATTGAGCTGCTCCAAGCTCACCATCCCTCCAATCGCCAATCTCCGTCTCCGGTAGCGACCCCAGAAACTGGTTGAAGCTGACGTCAAACACCGTCAAGTTCTTCAGCACCCTTGTGGCAGCCAGATCTCTGACACCTCCTTTCTCTGCTGTGGGCTCCATCCGCGTTCTCATCCGACGGACAGTATTGCATCTTCCTCTGCGTCAGCAAGCAACACAGGAAACGCGAGCCGTCCATTGGACGAGCCTTCGACACCTGCCTTGTTGTTCCCGCCAATTCGGTGATCGTGTTCACTTCCTTTAGAGGCGGTAATGGCGTCGCCGGAGATGATGCCGCCGACTCGCAGACGTCTGAGTTCTCCGCCGACTCAGTGAAAGAGTTTTCCTTTGAATTGCCAGGGTAATCACTCGATTTGCTCTTCATGCTGTCGCGTCGCCGGCACCGGAATCTTTCTCCCTTTCCCATCAGGTCGCGTCGCGGTACCCGACTGCAGACAACTCGCTCACCGCCGGAGCCAGGTACGAGCCGTCGATCACCATCGCGGCCACATTCAACACGCCTTGGAATCTTCCAGAAGGTCTCGCTGAAGCAGCCGACGGAACCTTGGACGCGACGTCGAGAAAGTTGTTGATCAGAAGTCGGACGGTGCCGACGACGAGGTGATCGCTGAAGCAGCCGACGGCGTAGATCTGGATGGAGACATGGGAGGTCTCTCTTGAGAGAAATGCGGACGGGACCTTGAAGAGGAACCGATCGTTCCACGTGGGGTTCTCGCCGCCGATCTTGTCGACCCCGGGAGCGGATCTTGTGGGCGGAAAATCCAAGAGAGGTTCTGTTTTGTGTTCCTTTTCTTCTTTGACAGGTCGTTCTCTGATGGTGAAATCCGCATCACCGTTATAAAGGATGATTGTTGTTTCGTGCAGCCTTCCTGGTCAGCTGCTCCTTTGATGTGCTCTCGAAGATCTTGTCGGCATTTCCAACCTCAAATCTATCTCGCCTGTGATGCTCTTTAACCTCGTCAAGGGGCAGATTGCTGTATTGAGGCAGAAACAGGCGTTCAGCAAACTCGATGTAGGGGCAGGGGACTGATTTAGTTACACCATCCGCAATTTGGAAATGGATTGATGGTGCTACTGTTGAATGGTGGTGTGATGGAGAACTGGACCCGAGCTTGAAGTGGACCAGGAAGGCCTGGATTTGGGCTTCTTGCTAGGCTTGTAAGATGGAGAGCTTGGTCCAAGTGGATTTGTTTGGCAGAAAGTGGGCTTGGCCAAGTGAGGATGGGCTTCGAGACAATCATACATATATATATTATTTTTTTTTTTTTGTAAATACATAAACATATGTATTCATCATTTTTTTTTAATAAAATTGACTTTCTTTAATAAAACATTTATTTATATTTTGATGTGACTGAACTCGAAATTTGAATATTCAAGCTGCCTACGTACCCCTCTAAAGAAGAGATCAAGTCGAAACGTAGTTCGAAAGACACTTTTTTTTTTTTTTTTTTTTTTGGCATTTTTTTTTTTTGCCGTTTGCAGTTTCAGCTCGTGCAGGCAAGGAGCGTTGGTGTTGCCTTTTATGCTCGTGCAGACTAGGAGCGTTGTGCCATGCAGTTTAGGCTCGTGCAGGCGAAGAGTGTTGTGTCTTGCAGTTTAGGCTCTTGCAGACAAAGAGCTTTGGTTCGTGCAGTTTTAGGCTCGTGCGAACAAGGAGCATGGTGAATTTGTCAAGTAATTTTGGAGAGGCGTTCCTCACAATCTTCATAGCAAGGGGCCTTGACCGAGTGATTGAAGAAGTCTTCAGGAAAGAAATCACGCATCGTGATGGGGATGGACGATCTATGTGTCGAAATTTCATCATCTTCAACACGTTCATGTTGCTTTGAAGGTTGACAAGAGCTGCTTTGCCCCCTTTCCGATTGGCGGACATGTGGAGGAAACGTATGCTTCTTTGTGCAATTTCTTAGGAGTGACTTGAGTCCATCCTTCAACTTTGCTTGTCTTGGACGATGCCCCCAGCGGTTGAGGTGAAAACTTTGAGTCGGAAGAGCCAGAAGTGAAGGTGGTATAGTTTGACTTCACCACATCGTCAAGATCTAGCTCGATGATTCCTTTCTGAGCCAGCTTCATGATGAGATCTTTCAGCACGAAGCACTTTTCTGTCGGATGACTGATAAAGCGGTGGAATTTACAGTATCTTGGACTGTCAGTACGATTCATCTCTTCCGGCCGTCTGCACTCAGGCAAACTGATCACCTTCTTGTCCAACAGGTCATCTAACATGGCAACCACATCAGAGTCGGGGAATGGATAAATTTTCTCCTCAAGCTCCTTCAAAGTGCGTCTACGCATCTCTTGATCACGAAAAGCTTCGGTTTGAATCGCCTTGCCTCGTGTGGAGATTTTGACGGGAGCTGTGTTGACCGTCATCACTTCCTTGGTGGGTTTCCATGCAGCCTTTTCCACCTTTGTCGTTTTTGTAGTTGGCGATCGGTTCCTTCTTCCCATGATGGGCGATGCTCAACTCCATGTCATGGGCGCGAGTGGCCAATTCCTCAAAGGTCCGTGGTTTAATGCCTTGAAGGATGTATTGCAAACCCCATTGCATGCCTTGGATGCACATCTCGATTGAAGAGGTTTCCGAGAGCCTGTCTTTACAGTCGAGGCTTAGAGTGCGCCATCTGTTGATGTAGTCAATGACTGGCTCGTCCTTCCACTGCTTTGTGCTTGTTAGCTCTAGCATGCTCACAGTGCGGCGGGTGCTATAGAAGCGGTTGAGGAATTCCCGCTCTAATTGCTCCCAGCTGTTGATGGACTCAGGCTCTAGGTCTGTGTACCACTCAAAGGCGTTTCCTTTCAGCGAGCGCACAAACTGCTTTGCGAGGTAATCCCCTTCTGTTCCTGCGTTGTTGCAAGTTTCAACGAAGTGGGCAACGTGCTGTTTCGGGTTTCCCTTTCCATCAAATTGCATGAACTTTGGTGGTTGATAACCCCTCGGCATCCTTAAGGTGTCGATCTTCTTTGAATACGGCTTTGAGTACAACCCGGAGGTATTTGAGCTCCCTTCGTACTGTGCCTTGATGGTGTTGGTGATCATCTCTTGCAGCTGCTGGATAGAAAGAGATCCCATGAGTGCTGCTGCTTGGTCTGGCTCCGGCTTCGCATCGTTTTTCTCCACCTGAGGCTCATCTTCTTCGTCATCTCTTCTCTTTAGTGGATCATTCTCTGGGTCGGGTTTATCGCCGTCCTGCGCCTCCAGTCGGTTGACTAGTGCTGCAATTTGCAAGTCTTTTTCTTCCACAGTTCGGGTTAGCCTTGCGATTGCTTCATTCATTTGAGCCAGCTGCTCATCAATTGAAGTTGCTCCAATGGTCATGACTTGCATGGTTGCACTGCCGCTTGAATCGGCGTCGGAGAGAGCATGAATTTCGGAGTATTTCCTTGGGCTTCCCCCCCTTGGTGCCCTTAGTGAGGCTAAGGTGATCACAGGCTCGCGTCTGGGGTACTCTCGTTCCCTTGGCAGAGTTGATGCAGAGGTGGAAGAGGTGGCGGAAGTAGCTCTTGCCATGCTTCGAGTCGTGATGCCCAAAGTGACACCAGTTGCGGCGAGGATGCTCTTGTTCTTTGCGCCGGTTGCGGGAACAGTTCGAGCCTTCCTTGATGCCATTAATTTTGTAAGTGCGCTTGAATTTCTTGAACGGAGAAAGAGATGAGAGGTAGAGGGGTCCCACCGGGCGTGCCAATTTGTGAACACGGAAAATTCCTGAAACGAAAGAGACAAGAACGAACGTGCACAAACAAATATTTGTATTTGATGATTTTGGGTTACAATCTCTCTCTATTTTGATCCTCTGATTCGATCTCCATAAGGTGTTGATTGGTGGATGTTTTGTTGATCCAAGGGCCGTTGATGCTTGATCTTGGATGAATTGTTGGAAGTTTCTTCAAAGGGCCGTGGGCTTGATCTTTGAAGGTGGATTTGAGCGGATCTTCAAGGAGCCGTTGGGACTTGATCTTGAAGAACAGTGATGAACGGATCTTCAAGGGCTTTTGGACTTGATCTTGAAGAACAGTGATGAATGGATCTTCAAGGGCTTTTGGGCTTAATCTTGAAGAACGGTTGGATGTGTGTGGATTTGTCGACGTTGTTGATCCAAAGAGCCGTTGGGGCTTGATCTTGGATGAACGGATGATGAACGATGGTGCTTTCTTCAAGGGCCATCGGGGGCTTGATCTTGAATTGGTGGATGATTGTTGATCCAAAGGGCCGTTGGGGCTTGATCTTGGATGAACGATGAACGAAGAACGAAGAGAGCTTTCTTGATTCTTCGAGAATCTGGATGCTTGAGAGCTTCGGAGTTTCAGAGCTTCAGAGCTTCAAGGTGTAATATGAATTCCTCCTTCAAATGAATGAAATGGGCTTGTATTTATAGAATTTTCCAAGGCCTAATTTTGAATATAATATTCCAGATGAAATAAGTCGTTTCTGCCAGGTGTTGACACGTGTCCTATTTGATGACTTTTCCAACTTATTTCAATTTTCGTTGAGTCACACGCTACGTGTAAAATTTATGTAATACATGAGCGTTGACACTTTGATTTGTCGGTCAACATTTATTTACCGAAATTTCGATGTCTACAATATTATCACTAAAACATAAGTGATATATGGTGGTTACAGTGTTGGATGAGTAAAATGGGAGGGGTTCAAATCCCCTCTGTGTTTTTTTTCCCTATCGACATTGATATTTTCCGATATTATCGTCGATATTGTCGATATTTGTACGATATGTATATGGATATGTTCCGAAATATCCGTGATTCAAAAAAACTGAAATATCCTCGCTATTTCCCCTTTTTTTCTTTTTTTTTCCCTTCCTTTACATCGATGTTTTCGATATTTTAGCGATATTACACCGATATTTTGACAAAATATTGCTGAAATGTGAGTGAAATTATCGGCATCGATATTTTCCGATATTGTTGATATTTGTACGATATGTACATGGATATGTTCCGAAATATCCGTGATTCGAAAAAACTGAAATATCCTCGATATTTCGTTGATATTATCGATATTTCAAACTATGACTGTAACATTCATTATAATTTTAACAAATGAGAAATATCCGTAGGGTTTCTTTTTCCTATGCCTTTGTTCGATATATAGTTGGTCTTCACACTTTAGTGTCTCGACCTCTAATTTTTATTCACACTTTTGAGCAACAAACATCTAAACTAACTATTTAATTCTTAATCAGCTGATTAACCACCACCACCACTCACAAAGTTAATTTATCTTCAATACCAAATGCATTGATTCCAAATGTAGGCTTCATGGTTCTGAATTCTGACCAGACACAGGAATCCCTACTTTGACTCGTACCTAAGCCTCCTGAATTATAATCAAGAAATTAACTAAAATTAAATTAACAAGAATCACTTACTCTCCTTAATATTATGTTTTAATAATATTCTTTTTCGTCTGTAAATGAGATATTTTAATTTTGAATCTCGTTAATAATAAGTTCAATACAAATGTATTATGACTGATTCATTATTTAATTTAAACCAAATTTCTCATTCTTTTAATATGAAGATACATTGTTGTATTCAAAATTTCCAAACCACTCCATTCAATTTCCTTTCACTATTGGTTGTTTTCCTGAAAATATAATATCCATCAACTGAGATTCCCATGGAATATTGAAATACGTGGATCCTGTTTCATGGTGTCATCTAGGCCGTTGTTTATATGATATTGACATCTGAGAACCCCGGACAACTTGGAGACTTCTCCAGCACACATTTTCAGAATTTGATTGATATGTACTTCCTTTCTGGCATGTAAAAAGAAATTATTCGTTGCAAATATCCACGCAAAACCTTCTTACCCGTCTTTTCGTTTGAGTCTCGAAATCCAGATAATCTCTTAATCAATCCGCCCTTTCAATTTAGAGGCGAGAGAAATCACTCTTTCGCATGTATTCCAACCGAGAATTGTTATTAGTATTTTAAAAATTACATTTTACATTCCAAATTTTTTATATTAGAAAAGAAAAATACACTTGTGAAGAGGGTAGAATGAGATTTTTTAATTGTCAATAACACTTTCCTTTCCAACCCTTGGGATAAAACCTAAAATCTTTAACCCAAAAACAGTTTTCTCGTCCAACCCTTCTAGGTTAAATGTTTAGCCTGAGATTATTAAAAAATGAATTTAAGATAATTTTTTTCTTAAAGTAACTTTAAAAAAAAATATTATGTAAACTATCTTAATTTAATTTTGCGAACATTTTACCTTGAAAAATCACTAAACTAACACCATGAAACTCGTGGAACACTACGAAAGAATATGAAACACATAAAAGAATTTTTTTAGTTACTTTAGCCGTTGGATTTAAATTTGGACCGTTAAATTTTTTTTTTTTACCATTGGATTTGGATCATATTAGATCTTAGCCGTTGAATTTCATAAATTTATAAATATAAAACTAAAGAAAATACACATATATGGTGGGTCAACCCCACTAACCCAGGAGAATTATGACCAAAATTTGCCCCAGAAAATGAGCGTTGGGTTAAAACTCATATTTGGCCCAAGGGTTGGAGCAAGTTTTGGTAAGTTTAAAACATAAAATTTGAGTTTTACTCCAAGGGGTCTAAGACCAACTCCAACCCTTAGAGTAAAACTCAAATTTTAGGTTCTAAACCTACCCCAACTTGCTTCAACCCTTGGGCCAACTATGAATTTTAACCCAAAATTCATTTTTGGTGCAAATTTAGCCCAGAATTCCTCTGGGTTAGTGGAATGACCCACCATATATATGTATTTTTTTTAGTTTTATATTTACAAATTCATTGAATTCAACGGTTAAAATCTAATATGATCAAATCTAACGGTCCAAATTTAAATTCAATGGCTAAAATAATTAAAAAAAATTTATTTCATGTGTTTTGTATTCTTTCATAGTGCTTCACGAGTTTTTTGGTGTCGGTTTAGTGATTTTTTTTCAATATTTATTAGAATCTAAATATTTTTAGGTTAAAATGTTCATAAAATTAAATTTGGATAGTTTACATAATTTTTTTTTAAATTACCTTAAGAATCCTAAATTCATTCTTTAATGATCTTAGACTGCAAATTTAATCCAGAAGGGTTGGAGCCGAAAACATATTTTTGAGTTAAAACCTAAATTTTCTGAGTTAAAAATTTTAGATTTTAACTTAAGGGTTGGAGATAGTCTAAAAGTGTTTAATTTGATTTGCTACAACAACACGCACATACCTATAACTCCTAAGAGTTGTGCAATGTGTGCACCAAACCGACCTCTAAATTTATTCAAAACCGTAACCCGTGTTTATACTTTGGTCGGAGCCGAAAACCCCATGTTCTCACGAAGTCCTAAAATTGGGACAAACCCATACGAATGTGGAACAGAAAGTCACGAATCACAAGCAATAGGAATTTAACAACGACAACATATGAGTTGGTCAAAGTCAAAGACTTCCTTGTTAGGGTCCCACACGCAAAGGGCCCTTCACCGTCCTCTCCTCTGCCACCCAAATCCCTCCTCCTCCTCCAATCCCTTGTATATGGAAATCAAGATGCCAAAGAACACCAAAAAGCCAATCTTTTTGTGCTCCATTCTTTTTGCGCTCCATTCCTTTTGCTTTGGAGAATAATATATTGGTTGAAAGAATTATCCTATATAGTTGGTGAGGAGCTTCATATATTCAACAAAACTTAGTTTTTGAAGCATAAAAAGTTATGAAACACATTAGTTCCTCCTCATCATTTCTACTAGTTTTGATGATGTTTCTAGTGTTTTCACAGTCCAGTGTTGTTGTTCTAGTTGAATGTAGAGGTCTTCTTGGTTCAGATGGGCGTAGAGGAGCCGACGTTGGACAGACAACAAGACCTTCGTTTTCGAGCTTTGCCGGGAAGATGAGGGACAAGGTTTTCGTCGGTTATCAGAAAATGTCTACGTTGGCTTCTGGACCTAGCAGAAGGGGCTCTGGCCATTAGATATAGTCATATGACTCGTATAATCTTCCCTTAGATTCATACTTTCAATGTTTTTCATGGCTTCCTTCATCTATTTTTGGCTGTGTGGTACATGTTATTCTTATGTATTTCTCAGAGCAACTGTAAAGAATATATAGTTTGGAACTAGATATGCATCAGCCTATGCATATATGATTGTAGCCTAAACCTATGTATATTTTCCATTGATAGTGTACTTGAAGAGATGAAACGCAGTTCTTAGAAGCTAACGTAACTCTACCAAGTGACTTCTAACTCAAGTAATTAAGAGCATTTACTGTGCTAGCAAAAGAACGTAAAATCTCACATCTGGAATTTGAAGTTTCTACAGTATGTAATATCTTGGACCTTATCTGGACTCCTTTAATGCCCTTTAGTTAAATTTTTGTTATGTTTTTAAGTGAATTTAATTTGTTTCATTTAGTTTTATGTTTTCTTAGATTTGAGAGTGAAGATGAAGAAAAAAGAAAAATGAGCACTTTTGTGATTGAAACGAGTTTGGCACGTTGAAAGCAGAGGCTGTTTGTGCGGATCAGCCAATTTGACGGAATAAACTGTACTTCCTCAGAGTGAACCAGCCGTTTAGCCTTATACCATTGGAAAGATATGGAAGTTAGCTTTCAGAGGAATTTTACGGTTCATGATTCCGAGTTTCCTAGACGATGTTATGAAGATTTTCGTACAAGACATCGGTCAGCCAAGTCTACGCGGAAGTTGCGCAGTCTGTTGGGTTTTTCAAGTCATAATTCAGTTGAAGCCCAAGATAGAACGTGTTGAGCTGACTTTAATCCTATTTCGAATGGGTTTGAAGTAATTACTTGGGAAGTTTACTTGCCACATCATTCAATTATGCAATACAAAAGATATCCCAAGACCTAATTATGTTTGGACTTGTCTACCATAAGGAGGGCTTTTGGGAACGTGCTTTTGGGGGTTTCTTAGGGGATTCTCTGCGACATTTTGGAGAAGAAGAGCAGCAGCCGCCAACCATCTTTCTAAGTTTTTCATGTTCTTAAAAATTTTAATTATGTTTTCTTATTCTATGAGTAACTCAATTCTTTTTCTAGGGTTATGCCCTAGCATGGAAGTTTATGGTTTTTAATGTTATTCATTGGATTTCTAGCTTCTTTTAGATGAATGTTTAATCACTGTTTGAATTGTTACTTTTTGTTTGAGTTCTTTGATTGATCACCTTAGGACTTTGCATCTAGTAAGATTGGAAGATGAATTTGAGGCTGAACTAGCAATATAATTCAATTAGCTTCTTGTGGTTAAGTGTGGTCTTGACAAGGAATAATGGTTTGCTTGGTTTCCTTGTTTTCTAGAGCACAAAGAGTCCTACTTGTTAAATTTATGCCTTAATCAGGATAGAGTGCATGTTAGGATATACGACCTCTGCCTAAATTAGGAGATAATCATACTATGGTCTAACGTGTCTGACAAGGACTTAGATACGGGAATTATCATCTAAAGAATCGAAAGATCCATTGAATGCATTGAAACCTAAACTAGATTACTTGTGGTTGATTCCGAATCCCTAGATTTTCATCACTTGCCTTAAAACACAATGTTTTCTTCTCTTTAATTTTTATTTTAATTTAAGGTTCTGTTTTTGTTCGTTTATAAAATCATCACAACAAACTCTTCACATCTTTAATTGATTTATTAATTAAGATCGAGTCTAGTTCGTTGTTTGGGTTTATATTTTATATTTTTGGGTTTGTGTCTTTAATATAATTAGATTTGGTTTAGTTTATGAAATTGGAGATTGAAGACAAAAACCAAAAAATATAAAATATAAACCCAAACATCGAACTAGACTTGATCTTAATTAATAAATCAATCAAAGATGTGAAGAGTTTGTTGTGATGATTTTATAAATGAACAAAAACAGAACCTTAAATTAAAACTAAAATTAAAGAGAAGAAAACGTTGTGTTTTAAGGCAAGTGATGAAAATCTAGGGATTCAGAATCAACCACAAGCAATCTAGTTTAGGTTTCAATACATTCAACGGATCTTTTGATTCTTTAGATGATAATTCCCGTATCTAAGTCCTTGTCAGACACGTTAGACCATAGTTTTCCTTAAGTGAATGATTCTCTCCTAGTTCAAGCAGAAGTCGTATATTCTAACATGCAATCTATCCTAGTTAAGGCATAAATTTAACAAGTAGGACTCTTTACGCTCTAGAAAACAAGGAAACCAAGCAAACCATTATTCTTTGTCAAGCAATAATGTAATTTACCACACTTAACCACAAGAAGCTAATTGAATTATATTGCTAGTTCAGCCTCAAATTCATCTTCCAATCTTACTAGATGCAAAGTCCTAAGGTGATCAATCAAAGAACTCAAACAAAAAGTAAAAATTCAAACAGTGATTAAGCATTCATCTAAAAGAAGCTAGAAATCCAATGAATAACATTAAAAACCATAAACATCCATGCTAGGGCTAACCCTAGAAAAAAAAGTTTAGTTACTCATAGAATAAGAAAACATAATTAAAAATTTTAAGAACATGAAAATCTTCGAAAAGATGGTTGGTGGCTGCTGCTCTTCTTCCCCCAAAATGTCGCAGAGAATCCCCAAAATCACGTTCCCAAAGGCCCTCCTTATATGACAAGTCCTAACATATTTAGGTCTTGTGACATCTTGTATTGCATAATTGAATGATGTGGCAAGTAAACTTCCCAAATAATTACTTCAAACCCATTCGAAATAGGATTAAAGTCAGCTCAACACGTTCTATCTTGGGCTTTGGGCTTCAACTGAATTATGACTTGAAAAACCCAACAGACACCCAACAGACTTTGCAACTTCCGCGTAGACTTGGCTGACCGACGTCTTGTACGAAAATCTTCGTAACATCGTCTAGGAAACTCGGAATCACGAACCGTAAAATTCCTCTGAAAGCTAACTTCCATATCTTTCCAATGGTATAAGGCTCAACAGCTGGTTCACTCTTAGGAAGTACAATTTATTCCGTCAAATTGGCTGATCCGCACAAACAGCCTCTGCTTCCAACGGGCCAAACTTGTTTCAATCGCAAAAGTGCTCCTTTTTCTTCTTTTTTCATCTTCACTCTTCAAATCTAAGAAAAACATAAAACTAAATGAAACAAACTAAATTCACAAAAAACATAACAAAAATCTAACTAAAGGGCATTAAAATGTATGCAATATTGGTCATATCACATTTCTGCCATCAGATAGAGTTCCTCTATAGACGTTCCCAAAGCCACTTTCACCTATCAGCAATCTTGTGTCAAAGTTGTTCGTTGCTTGCGGAAGTGCATCAAAAGATAACATCTACCCAAGATTTAGATAAGTCACAGGGGAGCCAGTAATCCTTCCCTCACTCAACCTGCTATGGTACTAGCTCCTCCAAATGTAGGGGTTGGTGATCATTCCGAAGTTTCAACACGCTTTGCCTTTCTGTATTTCATATCAAACAATAGACCTGGCATTCGTGTCGTGTTTTCCGTGTTCGTGTCGTTTTCGTGTCATATCTGATATCTTAACGGGTCGGGTCGGGTCGTGTAACATCCGTTAAAATAAATAGGTAAAATGACCCGACTTGAAATCAACCCAATAATATTAACAGCTAATATGACCCAACCGTTACCCGTTAAGGAAAATATATTTTAAACCAATAAATAATCAAATAAAAAAAAGAGTAGTTAAAATTATAACAAACAAAGATAAAGAGCTCATTTTACAGTAATATGTGTACCAACATCAACAAAAACACTATAAAACAATAGTGGAGCATAATTGAGATTTCGCTTGCCAAATTTACAATAATTTAGGATTGAAAACGAAAACAAACTTACAATAATTTAGGATTGAAAACGAAAACAAACTTACAATAATTCAGTCTTCAATCCTGAGGTCCTACTGCTGAAAGAACCAAATCTCAATGTGAGGTTTCTGCAATTCCCTAAAAAATACAAATAAAAGTAAAAACCCTAGTCAGAAAAGTAACCAAGCTGCGAGCTTTCTAAGAAACTCAGATGACAAAATCAACATCATATTAGATAATACATTGCACTGATTATAAGGCTTCATTATCACATTTAGTACCAATAACATGATTAAAATATGATATTGAAACCTGCAAAGAGATTGCTTAACAACTAATGGCAGAGAAGAGGGGAAGGGGTTAAGAGTATGTGGGCTTCTGAGAGAACATGGAATTGGACATAGGGGCGGAGAGGCTAATCAAACCTAAACAAAACTTTGGAGACCCCACAGGGTTGGTCTCCTCAGTCTCCTCCGCTTGTAGATCCGGCACCATCAAATTTTTCCCCAGTTTTCGCCATTCTATATCCCAGATATCCAGCCAAAACCCACACGTACCTGGTATTGCAACAGAGCCCCACCGTTAGTCACCGTTGGATAAGCTCGGGCAGTCACGCAGCAGCAGTCAAGAATCTCTCCTACACTCACCAGTGTTCATCATTGCTCAGTTAGAGAAGCTCACTGCTGCTTCACCGTTGGTCGTCGTTGGGACTGAAACTTATTCTGGCCTTTTCGCGCAGCCCCTCCTTGGTCACCACTGGAGAAGCTCAGGTCACCAGTGGTCGCCGTTTCTCTGTGAGAACAGCTCGCCGTTGCTCGTCGTCGGTCGTCGTTGGGACTTGAGACCTCCAGAGGCGTTGTCGCGCACGCGGCGCCTTTCGTACTCACGCTGAACCCTCCTTTCTCGAAAGGGATTAGGGCTTTTGTTTTGATCAAATGGTCAAATTGGACAAAAATGGAATAGACAAGGGGTTTTTTCGTTCAGAAAAGTTCTAATAATACAAATGAAATAGAATCCAATGGTACAAATTTACTCTCATTTATTTTTATAGATCAAAATTTAATCGTTGATTGTTGTTTACATTTACGCTTCATTTTTCTCATCATATTTTATTTTTTTGGATTTTCTTTTATGAAGACATGATCTATTAGAGGATGTAGGAAGATGAACGGTTTTGATCATTGATATTATATTCAGAGTTTTACGGTTAGTGTAAATTTTGCTTGATGTTTATAAAGTTTTTACAAACTATGACATTGACTCATATTTCAGTTAACCGTAAATATCGAAACGTGATATTAAAGATCTGAACCATTCATCTTCTTACATTCGCCAGATGATCATGTTTTCAAAAAAAAAAAAATTTTAAAATGAAATTCAGTAAGAAGAATAAAGTATAAATGACAATCGACGGTTAAATATAAATTTAAGGTTTATGGATTATAACGTTGGATTTCGAAGTTGACATCTTCATGAAAGTTGTAAAGCTTGTCACTATGAGTGATTGTATATTTTTTTACACTTTTTACACTTCTACAATAATTATTATTAATTTTATTAATTTTGCCCTCAAATAAAAAATATTATTCATGAGGGTTTGGAGGATTTTAAAAATCTAAACGATAATGTAAGTGTAACAATTATCTACTCGTGGAGGAATAATGATGAATCACGAGTGTTTATATATTCTTTCACATTTTTCATATTTGTATGTATGTCTTCTTAGTTCTTGTCTATACAAATATTATACTAGTTTATTTTAATTTTGGACAATAAAATGTTAAGTAAAATTTATCTTAGTAATTATAATAGGAACTCTCATAAAGGTCGTACCCAGTGCACAAGGGTCCCGCTTTACGCAGGGTCTGGGAGAGGTGAATGTCGGCTAGCCTTACCCCCATTTATGGAGAGACTGCTCCCAAGTCTCGAACCCGAGACTTACCGCTCATGAGCGAAGGCACTTGCACCAAGTGCGACCTCTATATAATAGGAACTCTCATAATAAAATAAATAATGATTAAAACTTTTTTTTTAACTTATATAGAATAATAATACAAAACTATATATTTGATATAGAATATATTGTATATATTAATATGGCTATTGTATTTTATAATAAATTTTTTATTATTAAACTTTAAAATTATTATAATAATTTTTTTCTTAATAGGTCGAAACGGGTTACATACGTGTATACCCGTTCAGAACCTGTTATTAACGGGTTACCTGATAATGACCCGATTAGTTATCGTGATGATCCGAAACCCGTTATTTTCGTGTCGTGCCAGAAACGGCCGGGTCTACCAAACAAGATTCCAATAACCAAAATGCAGATAAGAGGCAGGCCTTCAAGAACCAAACCAACCAGAACAACAACATTTGTGTTCTTCGACTCTTCATATTTGGAACTGGTGCTGATTCCTCCATTGTTTCCAAGATTTCCAGTCCATTTAGAAAGGAATTTTTAGTTTTGGTTTCTGCATTAGGACCTATGCTGATGCTAATGAGTTCAGACTCATTAGACTCTATCACGAAATCATAGTAGTAAGGCAACATGTTATAAAATCAGGTTATGTTGAATATAGTGGATGGGCCACTACTATTATTGTCCATTACTTTGGCAGTCCGGTAAACTGAACCTAGGGAAATAAAATCATTAGCAGCAGCAACAAAACCATCAGATTCCAAGTCACCGTAGTTAGGCATCAATGAGGGTCCGGTTTCCTTTTCAGAGTTTGAATTCGACATATCAAGATCATCGGGATCCTAGTTTCATGATAGTTTGTTATCAAGTAGTCCGAGTTCTTGACCTCCAACATTCACCCTGTAAATTGTATGTAGAACTAAAGGGGAACTACTTGTGTAATTCTCAGGGCTGAAATTTGCAGGGGCAAGGAAGATTTCAATGGCATTTACAAGTGCAAAAGACAGTCCATGACGCGTGAAGTATATTCTAAATGAGCCAGGATCAATGCCAAGAAAAACTCCTATATCATAGAATTGCTACTACTATTTTAGCAGTGAAATTGTTCAACAGCGTGAATGCAGAATTCAAATATCAGGAGAAGCCGAAACATAATAAAAAGCAGTGGATAGATTACTCGAGCTCCTAGTAGGATTGTTACCTGATAACTCTTTCTGTATGGTAAAGATTCGAATCATTCGATAATGTAGCTGGCAACTGGCTGCCGCCATTGACGAAGCTGCTCGCCTTTGAGTATAAGAAATCATCTGCAGTGAACGCTTGGTTATTGAGGTTGCATTAGCCTCCCACTATTGATGAAGTACTTATCTAGGAGCTCATAAGCTCAAGAGACAAAGTGGAGGAGAAAAACAAGCACAGAAAATAGAGGGATACGGGTTTTACCGGCACCAAGATTTTCCATGAAAATTTGATGGAGTTGCTGAATTTTGCAAGTTTTTAGCCTATGGAATTCCTATCCGAGTGACCATGGAAATTATGGAAGTATGAAGACTAAGAACAGAAAAAAGTGGTTGTGGACTACATTTCCTACAATATTATGACCCTACCTGAATAAATAATAAATTAGAATTGAACACAAAAACGAAAATTAAAAACTAAAAATGAAATGGTGATCCAACGGGGTTGTGAAAATGCTTGTAAATGAAGCTATACTAATGTCAAACCAAAGTAGCACAACTTAATCAGGTTTATAACTTCATTATCTGAAATTAGCATAACAAGAATTGAATGGGAAAATACTTCTGTAAAATGGATTTCAATGGCCATCAGCTGTTCTCGGCGCATCATCCTCCTCCAGAGGGAAGCTACTAGAAGAAGAAGAGGCAAATGCTGAAATTGGGTAATGCCAACTTCATAAGGTGACAAATAAAAGGAGAAAAAAAAAAGAACATAGCAGGTATGAAAGCTAAATCTTTACGTGGCTTAGCCACATTGGTTACGGCAAATGTTAGTTATACAATCAAATTCAAATCACTTTTTCTACAGTTTAGATTAGTTTTCAAAATTCAGGATTAAGTTTAGTAAGTCTACTTTTTTTTAATACATAGAATATTTATTTACACTATTACTAAGTTAAGTCTCACAATTGACAACTCATAATTATTTGATTCAAATTCGTGTTTGATGATAATCGAACTAAGACATTTAAGATCGATTACAACCTGCATGTGGCTGTAAACTTACTTTTGAAAGTTCTAGAACCAGCAACTTTAGCCGCACAATGATGAAAAGCCCTTTTCCAGGCCCATTCAGAGTCAGAACCTACACACCAATCATCCCTCCACAAAAACTGCTCAAAACTCTCAGCAAAGCGGTTTCATACTTTCCAGTAATTTGATTAGCCCACGGTTTCACCTCCTTCCCAATTTCCTCGTCACTTGTTATTTTCGTGAAATTTTTTAATGTATCAGAACACAAATTACTACACGTGGAGCACCTTGAATTATGCAACACAAAAAAAATTTCTTGTCATTCTCCTTCAATTGCTGTATATAAACACATACAGAGCCCATCCAAAATCGAAACAAAAAGCAAACTACTTCCAACCCAAGTCGTTTAAGAGCGTTTAACTCTGTATCCGATGTCTTCTGTTCGAATCCCCGTTTCACAATATGGATCCACCGCCAACTCAAACCAAAACGGAAGAAAGATCAAACCTTTGATGGTGGTGGGGCAGATGAAGCCGGTAAAGCCGAGCCGGAGCGACGAGGTGTTGTCACCCGATGAACAGCTCAAGATCGCCGAGCAGGTAAGGGCCCAGTTCGACTCTGCCGCCCCAAAGCGACCCATCAAGCCGAGCCGGAGCGACCCCGATTCAAACCCGGTTCCCTACTTCGTCGTCGACCAACAACCCACCATTCCTGAGCTGGACAAGTTTCGTTCTCTCGAGTCCCAATCCGCTGCTGTTATACTCTCAGCGCAGGGAGATCCCACGGTGGAAGATGAGTTTGTGGATACAGAGTACTACAAGGAACTCAATTCCATCGACAAACAGCATCACACGGTAACATCTCTTACTTTTTTGGGAAATTCTGAAATGATTTTTCAAATCATCTATATCTGATCGATATATATGTTGTAAATATTGGAATTTAATTTCTGATAATTTTTAGTTAATTTTCCTCTTACTTTTTGAGTTAATATATCCTTTGGTTTGATGAGTTCATGAATTTAATTTGGTTTGGTTTTGATTTGAATTGGATTAAATTGTTCAGACCGGAACTGGGTTCATAAGAGCGGTGAGAGAAGAGGGCAGTGAAGTTGATGGGCTCCATCTTCATCTACCTGAAAGTCATGCGAGAGTGGGATCGAAGATCAAAAGCAACCCTGCAACAAATGATTGGACTCCAAGGAACGATGACGATGACGATGACGCGTGGATTTAGATCCTTAATTACCTACTTAATTAATTATCCTTTGTTAATGTAATTTTGTAATGAATTAAGAAGAAGATCACTATGTTACATGTATAGTGATCATGTTCAAGAAGTGCATTGCCGTCCCATGTAATTTTGTGTGCCGTGTTCGTAATGGATCGTGTTATTTTAATTCTAGCACCAAGTTTTGGATCTATTTTTCTCTTTTGGCTGATGGACTTGTGCCTTGTTCTTATCCATTCCACAGTTAAGTGGATATATTTAAAAATTAAGGCGACGGCGACATGAAACCAAGAAAAAAGAATAGGACAGGAAACCAACCTAACGAGATTTAAAAAATAGTTTAATAGAGTTATAAATTTGTGAAGTTTGATAATGTTTTGATGGACATTCATACACTAAAAATTCATTAAATATAGGAAACAACAGTACAAAGGGTAATCGAGAACACCTACCCATATAGGAAACAACAATATGGAATCCCGACAAATTTATCAAAATCATTCAGTTTTAGTACTACGATATAGTGATATTTCTTTTTACTTGTAAGTAAGAGGTTTTAAGTTTGATTCTTGCCAATGCGAATTTGAACCGATTATTGCTAATTCATTGTGAGGTTTAGCCCAATCTCTTATCTCTTAGTATAGATAACTAAAAAAAAAAAAAATCGAATATGGTTTTGAATATGATTTTAAATTCTGATTGAATATGGTTTTTTTTATTTTTTATTTTTATAGATTTTATTAATTCTTTTAAAGTTTGATTGAACACACATATTTTTTGTTTCAAAATTTATTCTCCATATTTTGTTTCAAAATTGTCTTAGGGTGAAGTGGATACAGATAAGGTCATCTCCAACCAAAGAAGGGTTAGAGGGCTCCTTTTAGCCTTATAGTCCTCTAAGAAATTAATATTTTAATGAACAGTGACATGCCATATTTCTTACTATCTCCAACCAAGGGGCCAAAGGGCCATAGGCCAAACATATTCCTATGACAAAAAACAATCTCCAACTGAGGGGGCCAAAGGGCCATAGGCCAAACATAATTTATTATTTTAATTGAATTAATATGGTTACTAAAATTAAACTACCTCAATAATTTTCGAGATGGAATCTCAATAATTTTACGTCTCGAATTTCGAGTGCCACGTGTTGATATGTGTTCAACTTTGCAGATTTCTTGTCGATATGGATTCTCAATATCTCTTTCAACTCAATCTCTTTCAATTCAATATCTTTCAATTCAAGTTTGCAATGAATTCCAACTTTGGATCCTTTTCGGATTCCAAATGGGGGTCCTTATCCAATTCCGAATTAGAAGAAAAATGGGCGCATATGAGATGAAAAGATGATGAGTCTGATGAAGAAGATGAAGCATGATGCAACACATCATATATGGTAGCCATGGCTGGGGTCATGGCGTGTGAGCCAACTGAGGAACAACCTCAATGAGGTGGCTTTGTTACTGGTCGCTCTTACAAACCACGAAACAGAAAGATGGCGCATGACAATCTGATGAACAGCTACTTCAACCCCAACTCGGTGTACACAGAAGAAGATTTCAGATGTCGCTTCTGGATGATGTGTCATGTCTTTGAGCGTTTACTTCATGATGTCCAACATGTCAATCTATACTTTCGACAGAAGCTGGACAGAGCAAGCCGCCTTGGTTTTTCACCGAATGGCAAAAAGGCTTTAGCGGAAGATCGACAAAGCCAATTATTGTATTAGAGGCAGTTGCCTCGTTTGACACATGGATCTGGTATGCTTTCTTTGGAGTCTTAGGATCCCAAAATGACATTACAGTTCTTGGGCGTTCACCTCTCTTTAATAACCAGACGGAGGGTAAATTACCTCAACTTGACTACTATATTAACGATTGTCAGTACAATATGGGGTATTACTTGCCAGATGACATCTACCCAAAGTGGACAACACTTGTACAAGCAATTCCAAACCCTATGAATGATGCCCAATGGTGGTTTACCTTACACCAAGATGCATACCGGAAAGATGTTGAGAAAGCTTCTGGTATTCTACAAGCACGGTGAAAGATCGTCAAGGAACCGGCAAGAGGGTGGAGTCGAAATAAATTGAACTCCATCATGATGTCATGCATCATATTACATGTTAACATGATTATGGAGGATGAGTGTGATGTCTATATTGATGGAGAATTTGATGACGACCAAGATGATCCAAATAGGTAAAGAAGGGCTTGTGCAAAAATATATGATGGGCCTAATTTGCTTTTCGATATAATAATTGGTAATATTTCGTTAAATGAGTACATGAGGTGCAATAGGCTGATACGTTCGCGTGCCACAAACAAGTAACTACAACAGGATCTTGTTGCACATCTTCGGGCCAAAAGAAGCATGGAGTAGGCATTTAAGTTTTATGTTATTAAATGTTTTTTTTTTCAATGTTGTTTAAGATTAATGTTATTTAATGTTTTTAATATTGTTTAATGTTGTTTAATGGCTTAGGTAGTTATAGGAAAAAAATTAAATTTTTTAATTTTTTAAATTTGTAATATATATATCAAATCTAACGGCTACTTGGCGTTAACTAGCCGTTGCTAGCTGGCGTCATGCTGACGCCAGGTAGTCACTGGGCTTGAATTGTAGACCGGCTCGGGGCTAGCTGGCTGGTTGGTTCGGGCCAGCCAGTTGCCCCGATTATGCAATTGTGGCCTGGTAGGGCCCATGAGCCCTTTGGCCTAGCCTTCAGTTGGAGATGATTTTCGTATCATTTTAAGCTATTTTCGGCTCTCTGGTTGGATCAGTTGGAGATGGCCTAAGCTTGCTAAGGGCAACTTGGGTCATGCGGCTCGTGGTGGGTCTTTCCTGATTCAGCTGGTTTTTTTTTCTTTTTTTTCTTTTTCTTTTTCTTGTTGTTTATCTCAGACTTTGGGGCATTATACATCTTTATGTGTTGAGCTTCATGCTGTGGAGTTGGCCCACGTGCGGGGTTGGCGATATCTGTGCATCGAAAGTGACTCTTCAATATGATCTCCAGCTTTTCTTTTGGCTTTTTTTTCTCCTCCTTGGCAACTTCGGATTAGTTGGAAAAATTGTATTTTCCTTTTATAGCACATGGTTTTTCGTTCTTCTCATGTTTCTGGTGAAGGGAATGCAGTATAAATTAGCAAATTTAGTGTTGCTTTGATCTTCCCTTGTATGGCATGCGGTTCCACCCTTCAAGACTCTTATCTTTTCTGCACACAAATTTTTGGGCATCCCCGCCTACAAGTTTTTCTCTCCTCAATGATTTTTGTTTTTTTTTTCTTGATTTTTTTTGTTTTTAATTTCACACGAATACAACTTTCTTGCATTATTCTTATCCATTTGCACCGTTTTGATTTTATTATATGTAAGTTGTTAAATTTAACAACTTAGAATACAACCCTTCTTGTGTTGCTCTTATCCATTTCCACCAATCTTATTGTCAAAGTTAAATACTTAAGATGAAGGTCACATCAAACGAAGGAAAAAAAATGCTGAAGACGACAGGAGAAAGAACCTAACATTGGATTAGGCCAGCTAACCCTGTAAACCTACTCCTAATCAAGTATTAACCCAAAATGAAAACCCTACAAATTAGTTTTGTACTAAGGGCTATTAGATGATTATTTCGCTATCAGGGATTTTTTTTTTTTTTAACATTGAAAATGAAAAACAAAACCTAAAAATTGAAAGTTGTTGCAGTCATATTTAGAATATGAACGTGATTGTGTAAATCATAGTAGATATGAGAATGTATCTTATATTCTGATGAGGAATTGATTACCTATTAAATGTTGTAATCCTAAAAGGAAAGATTTTTACCTATCCTACTACTATAAATAAAGACACAATGAGGTGAATCAAACATACCTCACAATTAAATCACTCTCTTCTCTCTAATTGTAGCCAGCCAGCCCCATTTCTCTCTCTAAACCCTAGATCGTTCAATCAAATAGGCCTACAACACGTTATTAGCACGCTCTTGCCAGAATCTGAGTAATTGACGGATCGTAGGTGGAGGCTATCATCCAAATTCAAAGGCTTATATTCATTTTCTGCTAATCAGGTACGCTTAAAATAAAAGAAGATATTTGAAACGTCCACAAAGCATGAAAACATTCCCATGATGCATGAACCCCTCTATGTTTATATTTTCCTTACGATATATATATATATATATTATGTTTATATATTTGTCAATATATATATATATATATATATATATATATATATATTTGTTTCTTGAATCGCACAATTAAATTGTTATGTGGAATATGTGAGTCAATGTATAAACTTAAATTAGAAGAATATTTAGGGTTTCCTAAACCCTAGGTTTGAAAAAAATTTGGGTAATATTTGGCATCACCACGACATGACCGTGGATGGTGTTGACAAGTTGGACCACCTGCACAACCGTTTTTGGGCCTGCTGCTCCCTCTTGGACAAAACCAAACCTCGGCTTGGGTTCCATGTCGCACGGGCCTATAGCCCTGCCCCTTGTCTCGGCCCACGACCTGCACGCTGCAACCTTTATGGTTGCTGAGCTTTGCAACAGACCTGGCCCGCACCAGCTAGCCCATTGAGGCTGGGTTTCCCCCGACAAACCCACAAGCCAGCTTTCGTTGTGCCTTGTCTCGTGCCCCTTTTAGGCCCAAAATTGAAACCCAGCTGCAGCTAGGGTTTCTCCTTCACCCCGTGGCTTGCAGCCCACTCCCGAGGCTTTTATAGGGCCCTGCCTTTTACTCAAGGCACCCAACTCAAGCCCAATTATTTTTGGGGCTATGTTTTCGACCTGTTAATATTATTTTAATATTATTTAGCTTCTACAATCGACCTCGTATGACCCAATTTATTGAATTAATTAAAAGTGATATGCAATCCATTAATCTGATAATGAATCCAAAATTATTGACCTGAAAATCACTTTTGGACATTAACGATTCAATAATTTATTCTTTATACTCTGAATTGTAACATATTTTCGTAGTAACGAAGCTCTCACACTTTAGTTCTCGAAGAACCTTAAATCCACTATATTTAAATTAGTATATTGCACTTGTAGTTTTCATGTATAAATTAAACCAATACATGTTTATAGAACTTGTATGTTATACGATATATGTCTATGGCTTACCATATGACTAATCATGTTTTTTTCCCTCCTTTTTAGGGACATGTTGAACTT